CTCCTAGGCCCCGTCGCGCCCGCTAGGCCCCGTCGCGCCCTGCCTGGCCCCATCGCGCCCGCCTGGCCCCGTCGTGCCCCTCCTGGGCCCCGTCGCGCCCCTCCTGGGCCCCGTCGCGCCTCCTAGCCCCGTCGCGCCTCCTAGACCTGTCGCGCCCCTCCTAGGCCCCGCCGCGCCTCCTAGCCTCGTCGCGCCCCTCCTGGGCCCCGTCGTGCCTCCTAGGCCTCGTTGCGCCCGCTCCGGCCCCGTCGCGCCCTGCCTAGCCCCGTCGCGCCCTGCCTGGCCCCGTCGCGCCCTGCCTGGCCCCGTCGCGCCCGCCTGGCCCCGTCATGGCCTGCCTGGCCCCGTCGCGCCTGCCTGGCCCCTCCGTGCCTGGACCTGGACCTCCCCGACTGGCACAGCCTGCTCCGCCAGGGCGTGCCGATCTTTGAGTTAGATATGGATAAGATAGGTGCTGCTTTGCATGCCTTGTATTCTAACGCTTCTAGTGTTGCTGGATCTTATTACCTTATGTACTCTAGTTTAGGTGTTGCACCATTGTGTAGCTTAGCCTCCCCTGCTGCGCTAGGCATAGGACTGCCTAGTTTGCCTAGCCTAGTCTCTGCACCGGCTCCGTTCCCGACCTCCACCACAGCTTCGCTGTCTTTCACTCTCGACTCCGGTGCTTCTGCCTGCTTCTTCCACGACCGTTCCGCGCTCACGCCGCTTGCTACGCCCACTGTTGTCTCTCTCGCTGACCCCTCTGCAGGTCCTGTCATCGCACGCAGCTCCACGTCCCTTCCCTGTCCAGCAGTTCCCTCGGGCTCCCTTACAGGTCTCCACGTTCCCTCGTTCTCGAGGAACCTGGTTGGTGTCGGCTGTCTCCAGGACCTCGGCGTCACCACCACGTTCCCCAAGCACGAGCGGTTCGCTGTCTGTTCTGAGGCTGTGTCAGGTTCCCCCCTTGCGACGTTCCCCTGGGACCCGATGTCCGGTCTGTTTACCCTCGACACGGTTTTCCCCCCGGTTGGTGCGTCCTCCCAGGTCGCTGCAGCTTGTTCGTGTCGGTCCCTCACTCACCCGTCCCTTCTCTGGCACCACCGCCTAGGTCACCCAGCTCTCCCACATCTCCGTCACATGTGTCAGGACGGTCTTCTCTTAGGTCTCCCTGCGTCGCTCCCAGCCCTTCCTCCCTCGACTGCGCCACCGTGCACGCCTTGCGTCGAGGGCCGGCTCCGCCGTGCTCCTCACTCCTCCTCGCTGCGCCCTGCCATTGCCCCCCTTCAGACCCTGCACCTGGACGTTTGGGCCCGGCCCCCGTCCCCGGACAGCGAGGTGAGCGCTACTTTCTTGTGCTCGTCGACGACTACACGCGCTACACTACGGTGTTTCCCCTGGAGCGGAAGACCGACGTGCCCGACGTTCTTCTCCCGTGGGTTGTGGCTGCGTGTCTTCACCGCGGTCTCCCCATGTTGTGTCTCCACTCTGACCGTGGCGGCGAGTTCGCCTCTGGTCGGCTTGGACAGTTCTGTCGTACGGAGGGCATCACCCAGTCGTACACCTTGCCAGACTCGTCACAACAGAATGGGGTTGCTGAGCGCCGCATGGGCTTGGTCATGGAGGTCGCCCGTACCTCCATGATTCATGCCGATGCCCCCCATTTTCTGTGGCCGTTCGCTGTTCGCTACGCTGCTCACCAGCTTAACTTGTGGCCACGCTCCCAGCGGCCGCTGGTTTTGCCGACCCTCCTTTGGACCGGGTCCCCGGGTGACGCGTCTGCGTTCCACGTCTGGGGCTGCCTTGCTCACGTTCATGCCTCCGGCACGGACAAGCTTATTGCCCGCACTGTCCCCCGTGTCTTCCTCGGTTTCCCCCTGGACTCGTCTGATTGGCTTTTCTACCACCCGCCGTCTCACCGCTTCCTCCACTCTCGTGACGTCACCTTTGACGAGTCTGTCTCCTTCTACCGCCGCTTCCCTCACCTCGGTCTCCCGATTGCCCCGCCCCTGTTCCTTGCTCCCTCTCCCCCGGTAGCCCCTGCTCCTCTCCCGCCTCGCCCTGCCCCGTCTGGTGTCTCTCACATCACTCCCCGTTGAGGAGTCCGCTGACTCTGGTGGTACCCCCGGCCCATCCTTGCCGTCTCCCCCTTCCCCCGGTGTCTTCGCCTCCACTGTCGCAGTCGCCGCCTCTGCCGCAGCCGCCGCCGCCGTCGCCGCCGCTGCCGTCGCCGCCGCTCTTGGCCCCTGGGGGTGCTGGTGTGGAGGAGGGTGTTCGTCCTGCGGCTTCTGGGGGTGCCGCCGGTGTTGGAGGGGGTTCTCGCTCTGGGGGTGTTGGTTCTGGGGGTGCTGCTGTTGAGGGTTCTGCCGACGGTCGTCCTGCCTCTGCCGGCCTGAGGGTTCCGGCCCAGCCGTCGCAGCAGCCACAGCAGCCGTTGCCGCCGGTCTCCGCTCTCCGCCTGCTTGGCCTTCCCTCCCCGGACCGCTCGCCGGTGTCTCCCCCACCGCCTGCTGACCTTCCTGTCTACGGTCCAGTGTTCCCGCCGCCGGACTCGTCTTCGGCCCGTCTTCCTCCTCGTTCCCCTTCTGTGTCCCCTCCGCTGTCCCCAGACCCTACAACTTCATCCCACGTTTGGTCTCGCCGTCCCTCCCGTGCTCGTCCCGTCTCTCCTGTCCTGCGCTCCCACCCTATGTTGCTCCGTTCCCGCTCGTCTCGTCCTCCCCTCCTCCCGTCCCCTCCTCCCTCGTCCCTTGCTGTTGCACCTCCTCCGTTCTCTGACTACCTCCGTGCCGCTCGTCCCCTTGTCCCCTGGGTCCTTGCCTCTCTTGTTACCGACCCTTCTGTTCCTGTCTCGCGCCTTGACGCGCTTGTCGCTGCTGTCGCTGACTTCGCCTCTACCCGCCGCCTTGACTACGCTACCGCTCAGGTCTCTGACCCTGCCCGTCCTCCGTCCGTCGGGGGTGTTCCTTCCCTTGGCATTGACGTCCTAGAGGACAGGCAGTACGAGCTTGCGTTCCTTTCCGAGGCTGCTCCCCATCTCTGCTCCATACTGTTAGTCCTTGAGGGTGACCCAGACGCCTTCGACATCCCGACCCCTCGCACCTACGCTGAGGCCACTTCGGGACCTTGGGCCTCTCAGTGGATAGCTGTCATGGAGCAGGAGATGGCATCTTGGAGGTCCACCGGCACTTACATCGACGCAGTTCCCCTGCCTTGGGTGAACGTAGTCGATGGTCGGTGACTCTTCAAGGTGAAGCGCCCCCCTTGAGAGCCGCCTGTCTTCAAGGCCCGCTACGTGGCCAGAGGCTTCACTCAGCGCGACGGGGTTGACTTCTTCCAGACCTTCGCCCCGATCCCGAAGATGACCACTCTTCGGGCGCTGCTACACATAGCAGCACAGCGCGAGTACGAGCTGTACCCCTCGACTTCTCTACTGCCTTTCTTCAGGGCAGCCTAACACGAGCAGGTCTACGTGCGCCGACCACAGGGCTTCACTGGTACTTCCCCTCTGGGACCCAGTGGCTTCTCAGGCGCCCGGTCTACGGCTCCCGCGAGTGGCACGACACGCTGCATGCCACGTTAGCAGACCTGCAGTTCTTTCCCTCCTCTGCTGACCCTCGCTGTTTGTGCGTTCCGGCCAGACTCCGTTCTACATCCTTGTCTACGTAGACGACCTGGTCTTCGCTACTGCTGACAGGGACGCACTGGCCTCTGTGAAGGACGAGCTGCTGAAAAGACACACCTGCACTGACCTTGGAGAGTTGCGTCGCTATCTTGGCCTCCAGATCTCTAGGGACAGAGCAGTACGCACCATCACTCTAACACAGTCACATTTGGTGCGTCAGGTCCTTCAGAGGTTCGGTCTTCAGTTCTCCTCCGCACAGCCCACACCTCTACCTGTAGACCATGGGCTCTCCGCTCCCATTCTTGAGGAGCCAGTAGAGCCCAGTGGCCCCTACGCAGACCTGGTGGGTTGCCTCATGTACCTGATGACTTGCACTCGCCCAGATCTCGCATACCCTCTAAGCATCCTGGCTCACTTTGTGGCTAAGGCAGACACCGACCACAACACTGGTCTGCCGCTACGAGGGTTTTGCGTTATCTTGCTAGTACATCGGGCATGTGGTTAGTGCTAGGAGGACGCAGGCCAGTGGTCGTTACTGGGCACACAGACGCTTCTTGGGCAGACGACTCTGAGACGCTCAGGTCATCGCAGGGCTACTGTTTTAGCCTTGGTTCGGGTGCTATCTCTTGGAGATCCACTCGCTCGTCATCTGTGGCTCAGTCCAGCTGTGAGGCTGAGATCTACGCTGATGCCATGGCGGCACAGGAGCTCTGCTGGCTGACCTCTTGCTCACAGACTTAGGTGGGCGTCCTAGCTCTGCCCCGGTCCTGTACGCTGATAACAGGGCCATGATACTCCTGTGTCAGGAGCCTCGGCTTGAGGGCAGAGCGAAGCATATCCAGCTGCGGTACTTCCTCCTGCGCGAGCTACAGCAGCGCCGTCAGGCCCGCGTAGTTCACTTGGCCTCAGGTGCCAACACAGCTGATATCTTTACTAAAGCGCTTGCGCCTAAAGATCATCAGCGGCACTTGTGTACAGCTTGGTCTTGTTCCTGTAGCTACTCAGCTGTTAGGATCCTGATTGTGTACTCTCTATTATATATACCTGTCAGACTGGCCTTGTGGCCTTACCGTCCAGTGGCTGGACTAGTAGTGCCGCCCTGGCTTGCTTAGTCTTGTTTGTACTCTTGCTGACTGGTCTCCAGACCCTGCCTCAGTGGTTGGACTAGTAGTGCCACCCTGAGCTGTTTGCTTCTTGCTTAGCTTCACCCCTTGTCTAGCCTAGGGGGTGTGTCAACTTATACATATTAGCTATGTAGAAGTTATAGGCTAGACTGGGGTGTGCTTCTAGTGAGTACAACCAACTAGTATTTGTTCTAGGTTTCTTCTTCTAGTTCATTTATTCAGTTCTTACTTTCACCCTCTCGCCCTAGCCTACTTAGAAAGTGGGGAAAATTAGCTGTTGTTAAGAGTGCCATGCCATCAACGTGACCACAGACTAATCGGGTAGAAGAATAATGCTTTCTTCCATTCTCCGGTTTACTAAATAAAAACAAACGTGCACTACACGGAAAAGGGGAACTACATACTGATGAAGAGATACGGGTCACTCTACCTCGTCAGCAGTTGCCCCTCTGTTCTCCTTCGCAACCGCACGCTCACTAGAAACTGATGTAAGAGAATCGCCTACTGCACCTTCACTTGCCTCCTCATCTCTGAGCGCCTTGCGCAAGCCAAACACAATAAGCAGGTTTGTGACTGTAAGCAGGGACTCAGCGCTGCCGTGCAGATAGTCCACATTTGAGAGCGATGTCCCGTAGTGTATTTTGCTGGATGGAACAAGGGCAAACACAAAATGAAGAGGCACAGAAAATGGGCCAGGGAAGTAAGCATTTTAAACATCAGAACATACGTGAAAACTAGTGTGACAGGATGAGGATGAGAAAGCAGGGGTGATTATATTGGTGTTGGATGCAGAGAAACGAGGAAGACCACGTCCACTACTAGCCCATTGAAAGCACGGTTAGAGATTCAATGCACATTAAGTGCGACTGCTGACAAAGTAGCTGAGATACCCGAGGCATGGGAAGCAACAGCTCCAAGGCGCGGAACCATGCAGAGTGTGAAGCAGCTCACCATATATTCCGGCAGGAACTGTCATTGGACAGAAAACGGCCCCAACGTGGAGTCGATAAGGAAAATGTTGGAATCCGGGGGGGGTGGGGGAGGCATGAGGAGGGTGAGGTGGGGGAGGGACGTAGTGAAGCAGCAGGGAAAAAAGGGGTAATGTGTGGGGAGTGAAGATTGATGGAGGAGAAAGAAAGAAAGGCGGGGGGGGGGGGGCATGGAAGGGGGAGGGAGATATATATGAGTTCCACATGCGGAAAAGTCGAAATGGTGCTGTCAGGCATTAAGATGGAATGTGGAAAGTCACGAACATACTTTCACAGCTCCTACCATCACATTAACTCGTGACATTGACAAAGGTATCACTCACTGGTGGCGCCGACGGATGCGAGCAGCAAGTAGAACCGAATGCTGCACGGACAGCACGGCGGTAGACAGAAACGAGAACAGCACGCGTGCGACAGCTCTCCTAGCAGCGCGCCTGCTACAGCTCTCCTAGCAGCGCGCCTGCTACAGCTCTCTTAGAAGCGCGCCTGCTACAGCCCTCCTAGCAGCAGCGCGGATGCTACAGCTCTCCTAGCAGTGCGCCTGCTACAGCTCTTCCAGCAGCGCGCCTGCTGCAGCCTCCTAGCAGCAGTGCGCCTGCTACAGCCCTCCTAGCAGCGCTCCTGCTACAGCTCTCCTAGCAGCGCGCCTGCTACAGCCCTCCTAGCAGCGCGCCTGCTACAGCACTCCTAGCAGCGCTCCTGCTTCAGCCCTCCTAGCAGCACTCCTGCTACAGCCCTCCTAGCAGCGCGCCTGGTACTCACTGGTGGCGCCGACGAATGCGAGCAGGAAGTAGAACCCGAACAGCGTGATGCGCGGCGCTGTCCCCGACCGCGTGAGGAAGTAGAGAAATCCGAGGTAGGGGAAGAGCGAGACGGCGAAGAGCGACGACGCGATGCTCTGCGAGTCGACGTTGGGCGACCAGGGGTCCACGAAAAGCAGATGAGAGAGGGTTGCTGCTAGACTCGGAGCGTCAGCAGCGAATCCCAACAAGCGGGCGACAAGGGATCCGCGGGAAGGCAGGGATCAAGGGGGAGGGGAAACGCGCGGGGAACGACGAATTCGCCGCGTCTCCGCTCAGGTGCTCGACCGACGAGTGACAATCGAGAGAAGCGGGTGCCCCTCGGGGTGCTTCCAGGCTGTGAAAATCCAGGCCGGTTCAAGAGAGACGAGTGCGGAGAGTCATGTCGAGTACTTGCTGCGGACGCGGAGATTGGAATCCTGGACGGCAATGTGCGAGGCGGAGATGAGCAGGCAGAACGGGAGATATGGACTGGGGGGAGGGCTCTCCATAAGGAGATTTTGACGGGTGGCCTGGCCAGCAGCGCGCTTTCAGCCATAGCGAGTTGCACCGTGGAGATTTGCCAGAGGATTTCTGGCAAGGCGGAAGCTAAACCGATGGGGTGTGCCAGGTCGCACTGACTGATCAAGCGCTGGTATGGTGGCCTCGCAGCTTTCCAAGCAAATTGCTATTGTTGGTGGGGAGGGGAGGGGAGGGGGAGGATTTGTAATTTGGAAGCCATATTATATGGATAGACCCCATTTGATTTCACTGCAGGAGGTACCTGGAATCGAGGGTTCCTCTTTGCGAGTACAAAAATCTAGCACCACTTCCAACCCAACCAAAGCCCTTCGTTCTCCTTAGCTCTGCTGTACCACTTTCCCTGCCAGCAAGTGATCTCACCGGGATAGACAGCCAGAGCTTGGCCTGGGCTGCGAGCCTGTGACAAGCGAGTCGGCTTCACCACCAGCGACGCCGCAGCGCTGGCGGCGGCGAAACGAGATCGCGGCTGCCGAGCGATCATTGAGACGAGGAGTCTATTTTTAGCGATCGCGGCTGCCGAGCGCTCAATGACGAGCGATCATTGAGCGATCAAAATTAGACTCCTCACAGATCGCGGCTGCCGAGCGATCATTGAGACAGCGCAAGCGCTGATGACGCACGCGTAGGCGGCGCTAGGAGTGCTGGCGATCGCCATTCAGCTTTCAGCAAGAAGCAAATCGGAAGGGACCTGATCAGCGTGCCCAGTGCTTGCCGTGTCTCGGTGGCGGTAGGTTGAGATTCGCGAGGCAGCGTAAAATGCTCTTAAACCTGAGTTGATAGCCTCCAGCTATCCGGTAGGCCCCAAGAACGCCGACAACGCTATCTCGCAGATTTGGTTCTTCCGCCATGGACGGCGAATCTAGATCGCCTCTCTTTTACCGACACGTGGCGGCAGGAGCAGCTGCAGCCGTAGTGGCGAGCGCCGTGACATACCCCCTCGATGTCGCCAAGGCCGTCGCTCAGGCAGGCGTCGCACATGCGGGTGTCGCACAGGCAGTTGTCGCACAAGCAGGCGCCGTGCAGGGTAGTGGGATGACAGTGGGAGGAGGGCCTGGTGGAATGGCAGGGAGCGGGACAGCAGCATCACGCGCAGCTGCTACCAGCGGCCTGAGCTGGAGAAATAAAGGTAGTCAAACCCGCCATATCCCAAGTCCCCCTAGTCCCTCCAATTGTCCCTTTTCCCCCATCCCTCCCCCCCTTCCTCCCACCCCCTCCCGCTCCCCCTCCCGCTCCTCCCTCCTCTCCCTTCCTCTTCCCCCTTCCCCGTTATTACATTTCCGTTTTTATCACGCAAACTGCTGCTGTCAATGAACACAAACGGATGTAATAGACCCCGAGGGAGAACGTAGCCATTCAGAGAGCTCCACACAGTGCCATTCTCTCCCTCTGCTCTTTCCCCTCTGCCTGCCAGCCTCGTTCATCGGGTTCTCACCACACCTAGCTGGTCACCTGCCATCCCTCGCTGCCCGCTATACTACCTACCACCTCGCCGCCGCTTACCAAATGGGTGAGATGCTCCTTCTGACCTTTCAGCTTTTGCCGTCGCCCAATGCTCCCTTCAACCTCTCCTTTTCACATCCTTTGCTCCCTATCTCTCCTGCCATTCTCCCTTCCCTGCCCTTCCCCCTCCCCTGTTTCCAACCCAGACGGTCTGCCCCCGTGGCTGCCCATCTCCCCCCCTCAGGCAGCGGCAGCAGGCGCCGTTGGCGGAGTTACCGAGTCCTTGCTCTCCACGCCCTTCGACCTGGTCAGAACGCGCCTGCTGCTGGCCACTCCCTTGCTGCCACCTGTCGCTCTCTCCCACCCCATCGCCCTCCCTCGCCCCTCCATCCGCATCCACCGCCCCCAATCTCCATCTGAGCCAGTCCGTGCACCAGGAAACACCCGACCTAGTCACACCTCCCCCACTCGTACCTCGCCCAGTCAGACCTCTGCGTCCAAGTCTTCAGGCAAGGCCTCTAGTCCGCGGCACAAGCTGCCTCGTCACCTCGCGCAACGACAAGCCCTCTCTCACTCCTCTCGCCCTCATCTGCCATCTCACAAGCGCACCCTCTTCTCTGCTTCTGCTGCTGCTGCTGCTGCCACTGATGGTAGTGGTATTGTCAGTGGCTCTAGCACTGCTGCTACTGTTCTTGCCACCCATCCTCCTTCCACTGCTGGCAAATGCCCTGCTTCTCCCGCCACCCCTGCCACCAAAGCACTTTACCAAAAACATTTCTCCACACTCCCACACGCCCCCCACACTCCCCCCACTCCCCCCACACCTCATCCAACCTCCACCTTCTCCCTCTCCCTTGCGCGATACCCCTGGACGCCCGTGCCCTCTCCTTACCTCCCCGCCTCCTCCCCTTGGGAGGCAGCGATGGCTGGAGTGAGAGCTGAGGGGGCAGCTCAGCTGTGGAGGGGCCTTAGAGCGGGCATGACACGAGATGCGCTGTTTGGAGCAGTGTTCTTTGGGGGGTGGGTGACTATAGAGGAGGGATTGAGGGAATTGGAGGAGCTTCGGAGGAGGAAGAGAGAGGAGGGTGAGGAGGAGGGGGTAGGATGGGGAGAGGGAAGGGGTGCAGTGGTGGGGAGGAGTAGAGAGGGGTATGGGTATGTGTTGACCCAGAGTTTGGAAGCGGCAGCAGCAGCTGCGGTGGCTTCGATTGTGTCACATCCGTTTGACTGTGCCAAGACTCGCACTCAAGCCACCGTCTTGCCAAAGGTAAATCCCCTTTTCTAAAAATCTATTCTCCCTTTCTTTGTTACACCTTGCCTCCTTCTCTCGCTTATATTTACCATCTCTTTCAAGGTCTGACTTGTTCTGTCTATGCTTGTATCCCCTGTTTTCTTCTCTCTATACTTGCGTGTATCCACCCTTTGCTCCTCCATGCGTGTGTGTGTCCACCCAGCACGTGGCTATGGAACTAGCATTGTTTCCCAAGGCGGAGGATGGGAGGTGGTGGGAGAGGTGGTTTGGCTTGCGATGGTGGGACAGGAGCTACCATTGGAAAGGCCTGGCTCTGCGAACCATGCATCAATCAATAGGGGCGTTCCTTCTAGTGGGTGGTTACCATGTCGCTGTTGCAATGACAAAGGATTCTTCCGAGGAATGATGCATGATTTGTTAATAATAATAATAATTTCTAGTCATCATTATCTCATTCAAATCAAAGTAGGTCAGTTGTAGGTAAGCGAGTTGTTATGTTTCTGTAGAGCTTGTTACAAATTCGCATTCTTATCGCAGCAACCACAATGGCAGCCGATGAAATCCTGCTGTTGTTGGCTCTTTCACCTCTCTATAAATCCGAGCCGCAAGCTCCTACTCGGATCATTAGGGCGAGCGGAATCTGCGGCCCAGACTCGTTAGGCATCAGGTTGCGGCAGCAATAAACAAAGGCCAGACTCGCAGCTCCTCGGATTGTAATCAGGAACTTCACTCATCGAAGCTCCCATTTAGTTCCAGGAACGTAAGTCGACACTTCGTTCTTAGGAACTCTAAGTCGAAGCCTCGTTCCGAAGAGTTTAACGACTACTATGGAGGCGTTGGAGAAGTTAGTGACGCAGGCGCAGGGCCTGTCGGGCAGCGCGAGCGACCTGTCGCACCTGCTGGAGGTGCTGCGAGGCGCGGACGAGGCGATGGCGAAACACGCGGTGCAGTTGGACACCCTTCTAGCGTCGCTGGATCCCGCGCTGCACTCTCTCGCGTTTCTCTTCTTCCTGTGAGTGCTCTTGGACTGTCTTTAGAGGGGACGGGGTTCGCTCTGTCGGGGTGCTGCGGTGTGGGGAGGATTGGGTGGGGATCTGCCACCGGGGAAGGCTTTGCACCTATCGCACCTGCTGGAGGTGCTGCTAGGCTCGGACGAGGCGATGGCGAAACACGCAGTGCAGCTCGATACGCTGCTCGCTTCCCTCGATCCCGCGCTGCCCTCGCTCGCCTTCCTCTTCTTCCTGTGAGTGCTTTAGGCTTTTTGTTCTTACTGGGGAAAGGGGCTCGGGGGAATGCTTGGTGTCTTCTGGAGGTGCTGCGGGGCGCGGACGAGGCGATGGCGAAATTCCCGGCTCAGATTCGCCTCGCACGCTTCTTGCTTCTCTGGATCCCGCCTTGCACTCTCTCGCCTTCCTCTTTTCGTGTGAGCGTATTTTTTCAGGCTTCCCAAAAATCGTGTGAGTGCTTCTTTCTGTAAGTGCGTCTCTCGCGCCATTGGTTGTTTTGTTTGACAATCATCGAATAATCGTTGATTCCTTGTCCCCTACCCCTCAACCCCAACCCACACCCCCTACCCTCGCCCCCAACCCACACCTCCTACCCTCACCCCCTACCCACACCCCCCTACCCCTCACCCCCTACCCCTCACCCCCTACCCCTCACCCCCAACCCCTCACCCCCTACCCCTCGCCCCCTACCCCTCGCCCCCTACCCTCACCCCCTACCCCTCAACCCCAACCCCTCACCCCCAACCCCTCACCCCAACCCCTCCGCGCACCTGATTCTGACCCCCAGTCCCAGCGTTCCTCCGTGCAATCCCGCCCTCCCCTGTTCCCTTCCGCCGCCTCGTCCCTTTCCTTTCTTGCCAAATTCCCTCGTCCTCCACCCCCTCCCTCGCACCCCTCCTGCGCAGCGACGCACATGCAGCACAGGCCCCTCGGGAGCTGTCCGATCAGGTGGTGGGCACCATCATTAACTTCATCAAACTGGCCGCTCCTACGCAGCTCGCGCTGGCGCCAGAGAAGTGTGAGCTCTAAGCGGACTAGAAACTTGAGGGTGTACGTGAGTGCGGTGAAGAGCTGTCGGACCAGGTGGTGCACACCACCATCGTCAACTCCACAAAAGTGGCCTCTACTACGCAGCTCGCGCTGGCGCCCGAAAACTGTCAAGGAGGGGACGGGATTCTGAGGGTTCTCGAAAATCACCGGGACGAGATGAGCGTGAGAGAGGGAGCGAGGGGGAGAGGGGGAGAAGAGAGAGAGGGAGAGCTGTCGGATCAGGTGGTAGGCACCAGACACCATCGTGAATCTCATCATGGTGGCCTCTCCCTCTCAGCTCGCCCTGGCGCCGCCATAGAGAGGAGGGAGAGGGGGGGGGGTGGGGGGGTGGGGAGGGATTCTTGTGGGGGGTGAGGGAGCACCTCACCCCCCAACACACTGACTGTCAACGGCGGCAATCTCGCCTGCTAGCCAAGATGCACAGACAGGGATGAATCTTCAATTTGTCGCTGAATCCCATCCGTCTCCGTCCCCTCTATCTTATCCCCCTTATCCCCCTTATCCCCCTTATCCCCTTATCCCCTTATCCCCCTTGTCCCCCTTATCCCCTTGTCCCCCTTGTCCCCTTGTCCCCTTATCCCCCTTGTCCCCTTATCCCCTTATCCCCCTTATCCCCTTATCCCCCTTGTCCCCTTATCCCCCTTGTCCCCTTGTCCCCTTGTCCCCCTTGTCCCCCTTGTCCCCTTGTCCCCTTGTCCCCCTTGTCCCCCTTGTCCCCCTTGTCCCCCTTGTCCCCCTTGTCCCCTTGTCCCCCTTGTCCCCCTTGTCCCCCTTGTCCCCCTTATCCCCCCCTTTCTGCTCGTCCCTCCTCCCTTCCCAGTCGCGTCCCTGTGCCATCGCCTGCGCCACTTGGAGTCTATTTTTGAGGCGCCTCAAAAATAGACGCCTGTGCGAATTGGTCAGTTCCCGCAGTGCAGCGAGTACTCCCCGGGCGATCCTCCCCCTGCAGTGGGCGATAGGCACGGTGCAGCAGCGGTGCAGCCCTGAGCACCTCACCCCCAGCACGCGGACTGCCTGCAGCTGTGCCTGCTGGCCAAGATGTACCTACCACCCAATCCCTCGCTTTCACCCCCCCTTTCTTCTCCCCCTCCCCCCCTTTCTTCTCCCCCTCCCCCCCCTTTCTTCTCCCCCCTCCCCCCCTTTCTTCTCCCCCTCCCCCCCTTTCTTCTCCCCCCTCCCCCCTTTCTTCTCCCCCTCCAGTCGCCTCCCTGTGCCATCGCCTGCGGGACCTACTCATTTCTCGCACTGAGTTTGCAAGGGGCGTGCTCCCCCTGCACTGGGCGATAGGCAAGGTGCAGCAGCGGTGCAGCGCGGAGCACCTGACCCCCAGCACGCGGACTGCCTGCAGCTGTGCCTGCTGGCCAAGATGTACCGCCATGGGGGAGAGCTGTTGCAAGGGGACATTCTCGATATTGACCCCAAGAAAACGGGGCTAGTGCACCGAGACTTCCTGCTGTACTGCTTCTACGGGTGAGATTAATGAGCCAGCATGTGAATTGCATTCGATTACATGCGCTGCTTGCGTGTGCTCTCTGCAATTTACGCTGTATAATTCCTCCTCGGCTTTCAGATTTCTTTTTCCCCTTCCTACATTTTCGCCCTCCTCCTACTCCCCCTCCCCACCCCCCTAACCCCCTTCCTCTCTGGCTGTTGTCACTCCCCAGTTTTATGGGCGTGATAACATACCTAAGGATCTAGGCCACTTCTCCCGCTCCTCCTTGTCCTCTTCCTCCTCTTTCTCCGTCCTCTTCCCTCCCCGTTCGTGCCTGTGGCCCCTGCAGGGGCACCATCTATGTGGGCCTGAAGAAGTACCAGAAGGCTCTAGACCTCTTCATGCATGTGAGTGAGATTCATGCATGTGAGCGGGATTCATGCATGTGAGCGGGATTCATGCATGTGAGCGGGATTCGTGTGAGTGGGATGCGTGTGAGTGAGTGAGCTTCATGCATGTGATAGACTTAATGCATGAAGGCCATTATGCATGTCGTGTGCATGTCATGCACGTCATGCAATCACCACCCGCCGCGCCCTTATTCCTCAGGCTAATTGCAATGCAAGTCACCCAATCACGCTTCTGAACTATCAACGCCTTCGCCTTGCATTCTTATCTCCGTTCGCCCTAAATCCCATCACGTCCCCATCGCCCTCCCTAAATAAACCGTCTTCTGCCACCCTTCCCCCCAACCCCAACCCCCACCCGCCAAACCCCATCCTCTTCTCCCCAGGCGATCACATCTCCAGCCCAGAGTGTAAATGCCATCACAGTGGCGGCGTATAAGAGGCACGCACTGGTCTCGCTCATCCTGCACGCTCAAGTAAGAAGTGTGCATGTCGCTCCTTGCATGCGCGATGGGTGTTGCGTCACCAAGGTTACGACGAGGGTCAGCAAGCAGGCTTTCGTTCCCATTGCTTCTGCATTCTTTTCCCTAGAAGCTGGCAAGGCAAACCCTTCTTCCGTACCTCACCCCCGTCCCTCTCTCCCCCCATCCTCACCCCTGACATCAATCTCCCCCCATGGGCCGTCACGAGCAGCTATCGCCTTTGCCCAAGTTCACTCCAGGCATCGTCCAGCGAGGACTCAAGGCGTGCTGCCAGGTATGGGCTCGTGGGTGTGTGTTGAGGTGGGTCGCATGGTGATGTCACGTGCGTACTCACATCGCATCTGGCATTGTCTTAGCACATTAAGATGGTTCACTTGCCTCACGAGCAGCTATCGCCTCTGCCCAAGTTCACACCAGGGATCGTGCAGAGAGGGCTCAAGGTGTGCTGCAGGTACCAGCTAGTGCGTGAGTTGAGGTGCATCACATGGTGATGCCAGCGTCCTTCTCTATACTGCATGCAATCTTGGGAACGTCTTGCCCTTGCCTCAAGAGCAGCTGTCGCCCCCAAGTTCACACCAGGCATTGCGCAGCGGGGGTTCAGGGCGCACTGCCAGAAATGTGTCCGAAGTTGCCTTACCTCTCTAACCTATCCACAGGTTTGTGCACTCTAGTCGTCGGCACTGATCTCCCAACAAACTTGGTCAGTTAGCACGCTAATTGTGCCTTTGCAAATAAAGCATGCTTATTGTGCTTTGGCAATTTAAGCATGCTAACTGACCAGGTTCTTTTGGAGCTCTGTAATGGCTACAGCGTACTAACCTGTAATTCAATGGTTTGGCAACGAACCCTTTATCT